AGATTTCAACAATGATGATGCGCACAACATATCATGATTGTACTACGCGCAGGCTACTTATGACTTGATGTTGCACACTCCACGTCAGAACATAACTGTCTTTCTTTAACTGGTTTAAATTTGGTTGGTATGTTTACCTGTATTGTTCGTAAGACCTTTATGTTTTATAGTTTACCGAATATAGGTTCGCCCTCCATGACTTATCAGCAGCCAAATTCTTACTAGTCTCATTTCATACAGGAAGCAGTGTTGCAGCTACCACGGTTAGCTTAAGTCACTTCTGTCATACCTGATTTCTTGTTTACAGCTGGAGAATATTATCATTTATTTTTTGTCCCTATTATCCTGAGTGGGACACAAGGCCTCAGTAGCACACCTACACTACATACAATTCTGTTGTCGTTCGTGGCCTGCCCCATGACTGCCCACAACACTCCACTTCCTTTCACATGATCTTCGTCATATCACTCCTGGATCAATTCCCAATAAATCGCCTTCCATCCTAGTTCCACTCAAGAGCCTGATGAATGCCGTCGCTCAACAGTCACCTGAAGTTTTGTCTAATCGGTCTCCATTTTCTTCTGTATATTTACCAGGCAACAGATATGCAACCGTTTCTCTGCCGAAATACCATCCTGGTCAGTGGTCTGATCTTTAGTGCCAAGTAAGGGTGGGAGCCTTTTGCAGGTAATTCTAGGTGAAGCTTAAGTATGGTCTTTGGACAACATAGAAGCACAGACTTGAAATCAGTATTGAAAATTTAGATGTTATTCCTTAGGCTGAAAGCTGTAGATCTCCAAATTATTCTCAGACCGATGAAACTCTATTCTGCTTTCATATTTCTGGCTTGATATCTACTCGGCGCCGCCCGTAGTTCTGTCGGCGGCATAGAGATTGAGGAGACGTTTTCCTCTAGATTTCTCCCATCGATGGTAACTGGTATTTGTTGTTACTGGTCGATTGTCTTTAGCGCCTTTGTCCCCCTGCTTTCACTCAAAGTTCTGCCTTTGTTGTGCCTTACCATAACTTGAGGATTTTCATTTGACTATCTCCAACTTTGTGAGAGGTGAGGTATAAGTTATTCTGGAGTTCTGGACGTAATTCAACTTTTTTGTCATTTCACTGTATACTTGTCTTCTCCGAGGTTTTTCCCCGACGCAACTAGCCACAATTAAGAAGGTCACCGGTGATAGTGGGCAGCCTTGTCATACTCCTGTCTTCACTTCTGATGCTTCAGCGAGATTTCTCTTATGAACCGCTTGGTATTTGGCATTATCCTATCGCAGCTTAATGATGTTAATCAAGATTTAGAGTGTTCAGTAGTGTTGAAATGACTTCTGAATTGCCTAACGGTCAATTCCATCAAGGACCTTCCAAAGTTCATGCATTTGATGTGGAGATTCGACTGTCATCCCATGGTCTGTTCAGTTGCTAGTATCCCGAATTCATCGCCACGTGGTTTGCTTTCCTTCAATCAAAACTTGTTCCGGGGAAGTTTTGCATCTAGATCATCCCTTATTCTCCTCAGAATGACTGAGGTATGGCGCTGCTTGAGTCCTAACATAGGCCTATAAAGCCTTTCTTCTGCAGTTTGAGGATGCGGTCTTTCAACCTATCGGTTTTGGTGGATTCCATCCACTCTCTCAGCCATCAGCAACCTTACGGCCCCAGAGACAGCTCGATTGTTGAAGAACTCGCGGCAAGCAGCATTACGGGAACAACTGATCTATAAGGCAGCACAGGACTTCTAGCGAGCTAACATCACTTTAATTTTCAGCTAATAGCGGTATTTCCACAACTGTGGCCGATGAATGTTTAAACGAATGCTAGTTGGCAATTATGAGTGTCCAAGAATTTCCGTGGAGATACTCTGTCTCCAACTAGGAGCTGTATGTAAGGAAACTGATGTAGTGACATTGAAGCTCAGGACCATCAAAGCATGGCAGATGCAGTCACAGGGGTAATGACATTCAAAATGCTATCGTAGGAGAGAATCTTGCAGGAACGCAGGTCAAATAAGGATGTATGAAGGAAGGTATATTATTGGAATTCAACTCACGCATTTTAACTCTTTATGGGACACCTTAAGCAAGGAACTGAGTTTAGGAACCGTTTTAGTTCATTTGATTTAAAATCATGGCTGTGTTTCTCCTCAAAGATTCATCGATAATTGAGACACTGATTCTTCCCTAACTGTCATATCTGAAAGAATAATTGCTTTAGTTCCACGCAAGATGCTCGCCTGTCGAACTTGTAACGTATGGATAAAATTTGAAGGTATGCCTCTAATATCTATTAATTGCATTTGCCTTTAAACGGTCCCCAGTGGTTGACGAATTTCTGTCCGACGATGAAAAAACCAAGTAAGAAAGTCCTGCGAGTTGGGAAAAGATTGAGGGACCTCTTAATCTCCTCTAGATCAAAGAAGTTCTGACCTGCACATGTAAAACAATCCATTGAAAGTCACTAGTTCCCCTGCAGAACTTTCCTTGTATATCAAGCGATGCTATTTGAACTACAACTATTTTTGAGGATAATTGTTGGGAATAACAAGGACCTTAAAATATTCAGTAGCCGAAAATTTTATCTGAACCATAAGCGCTTATAGCTGGAGGAATAAAATGCAACTAGTATTATGCAACACACGTTAGCATCATACATTGCAAATGTGCACTATCATATCAAGTACTGTATAGATTATTCTTGTATTTTTCTTGTAAATATAATTCCAATAATGTATTATTCATGATTGCATTTTATACCACTTTGTAGCCGTGCAGGATTTTCTCCTCTTCCTGAAATAGCGTTCAAGCACGTGGTTGTCGCTCAACTTCAATGGAAACCTTCGTGGAAGATTTACAAATTAACAATTATAAGAATCTGTTCCGATTGCTTGTACTATATAATTCAACAATTTGAACTCTTAAAAAAAGTGATAATCTTACTATCCCCTGTAAATGTTGTACTTACCTCAATATTGGTTGGCTATCGTATGCCTACAACTACGGGTTGAAAACGAAACGAAGTCGATTTTCCTGCGCAACCTGGAGGACTACTGTTTAATTCAATAATGGGTCAGACAATGAGTGTATTTATATATATATATCAAATATTTAGCTGTTCAAACATTATTAACTTGTAGACAATCTACTATTTGTCATTATATCATACTTGATCGTGCCTGTAAAAATGGCATGCATTTTCATGTAAACTTATGTTTATATGAAAATATAAATTATTATTATTATGAATAGGTGGAACTATTCATCGAATATCTCACTTATTCTGGGGTAATAGATGTGTTAAAGATCCCCATAACTCTGATTCTTGTGTTAGTGCGCGTCAGCACTTCCATATTGTATGGAGGATTTCATCATGAGCTGACATCAGTTAGAGAACCACTGGAAAACCTGGGAGTACTGGACAGCTGTTTCGTCAGCGTAGTTTGGGACTCTTCATTCGAACCCAAAACATTCTGGTGACAGGGCGAGCTCGTAGACCATTGAGCCACTGGGACCCGATCCAATGGTCCTTGAATTCTAACTTCTGCCAATTCACGGCATAGCGCGACCATTTCTATATTTGTCTGCACTACTATATTATGATTCTGCGTATATTGGATATTTTGTTGAAATGCTTCATGCACGCAAAATTCGTCCCACAGTTGGAATAATTTAACATGATTGGAGATATGTTCATGCTCATAAAACGTGTAGACCAGTACAGGGAGCTGAAATAATTAAGCCTTCTTTGTAATCTCGTCACATTAATTTAGCCAGTCATTCTATAAAACTGTAACGAGGATTTGAAATTGTTCTAGGTTATTACTTGAGGATGGAACATCCTTACTCAGAGATGGGGTCACCTTGAATGCATGTGTATTATTAGCATTGGTTGGAGGCGTTGTGAAACAGTTGTCAGTACAGTTTACCACTTCATTCAGTTAGATGAAATATCAGAAAACTGGTGAAATCTCTTCATCAGCCCAGCCTACACAAAAGTATTCGGGAAGCAGGTAAGGGCTGTATAATATAGTTCACTTAATCAGTGGGATGTTTTTATTCTTTATTCGGGGAAGGTCTCTTGCCAGGAAATATCACAGCGTTGCGAAGTCATTCGAAAGGTGTAGGGCCGTGAACAAGCCAGTACTAAGCCAATATCAGCGCGTAACACTTTCTCCACTTTGAAATCTAGCCAGCATTGAAATACTCATATTTATCAGGGAAAGATTTAAGTGCTTTGTAAAAACAGAGGATTACTGACTTGTGGTTGTCATCTAACTTGACTGGGATGCGCCTCCAGAAGTGGCACTATAACCAAACGACCACTCAGCAGTATCCTTCACACTAAACCAGATGCAAGAGTCAGATTTAACTGCAGCCACGACGAAAAACTTTTATCATCCAAAATTTGTGGTTTATGCAATTCACAAAACCCCATAAATCAATAAAAGAATCTGGATGGTTGAATGACATTGCAAATCCTCTGAAACTCAGGCCAAAAGTGAACGAATCAAAACTATCTAATAGGGTGATCACTTCACTGCATGCACCATTCACGAATTCATGGCTAACAAAGATAATTTGTTCATCCTAACATATTTCTTTAGGGGTTTAAGACCGAGAATGAGAGTCTTCGAAGTGTTGTCCTCGTGCAAACGAGAAAAGATTGACACATCTGTTCTTGGCCCTCTTCCCTAGTTAAACGATTGACCCATACAATCATTATTTATAAGACTAGTATGTAGGGACTACGATTTGACCAGTTATACAATGTTTAATATATTAGACGTAGTCACCATACGCCTGTTAGTTCTATGACGCATTATCTAAAGATACGTAGCTACCTTAAAATTGCTTCCGTTGAAGGTATTCTCCTGTAGCTATTACCTTAGTTAATATACTTGACAATACAAGACATTCTGCTACTCTAGCCGGCTCAAATCTTTTAATCGGAAAATTCTATTGAATTTGTTTCAACTATCTGAATGTCCAAGAGTACAAGATACCAGTGTTTTACTACACCAGACAATCTTGTCTCAGCTGATCATACAAGGTCTAATCTAGTGGCGCGATGGTACTTCTGTTACAAATGACTAGGTTTCCTGTGCTAGTTTTCCGTGGACTTTTACTATTCTTTCTCGGCATATGTTTCTGTTGGGTTTGTGAAGCGTTACACAATATCAAGGGAGAATTCACATCATCAGAAATATCCTTTTACACACAGTCCGCTGCTAAATTCTGGATACCATTCTGTTGTGGCGTTGCATCTGGTATGAAACCATACTCTATCTTATTATTATTCTTTAGTGGCTGTAGGACTTCTGTCACCGTGCGTTGACTCCAAGCTAGGCGTTTTTGACGTTTATAATAACGAATGGTCTTCGGTACTGAGGTGTGCCGCACTTTTCTTCGGATTCAGTCACGCAACTGCAAGGATTGACTTCGCCACCTATTCACAACTCTCACTAACAGCCATTGGACTGTCTATAGCACTTTGGTGGGTGTTTGATGGATCTCGAGTTGGATTTGTTTTCGGGATGGCAGCTGCTCTACTGGCAACATTCATTTTTCAATCATTTGTTTGGAAACAACTTTACAGGTAAATTAAATTAATAATAATAACAATGTATGTACAGGTTTTCTCATCCTATGATGGCAGCTTGGTTGCCCTGCTTATTCTTCTCCGGCGGCGTTGTCGTAGTCTTGGTGGGCAGGCAGCTTGCGAAACCTGATGTAATGGCTCTAATGCAAAGAAAGGTTAAGTAAATCCCTAACTTACAGACTGCCATTATTTGTTCAGTGTATCGAACAAATTTTTTATCCTTTTGTACATAAAAACCAAACCTGTAAAAGCCATTAGCTTTATCCAATGCATTTTATTTATATTGAGTCTTATTTTATTTGAACTTCAAAATATTGATGTGGGTTCTTTTGGGTACGCTTGTATTGTTGTTTTCGTTAATTGACGTGAAAAGAAAACTAACCAGGTGTACGCATTATTCTAATTTATTGTGAACGTAGAAGTTCAGTTCATCAGTCAGTTTCAAAGTTTTTGGTGTTTCAAGGGTAGGTATTTTTTAGACGTGTTTAGTGTGGTAATATTTAACGCAGTACTTGTGATTCCAAAGTAAAATTTCATAGTAATAATCTTTGACAAATCGTGTATTTTTGAGCAGTAGGTGTTATTCATAAATATACTTTTTGCGGTTGAAATGCAGTCATCAAGTAACATGAAATGTTTCTAACGTATAATGTAATTCTCTGTCAATTTTTAGAATGTTTATGTATATTGAAATCAACAGATATTTAATAAAAGGGTTGCAAACTCGTATCTTACGTCCTATCGCTCGTGCTTTCCTTCGGCAGTTATTTGACGTACGACGTTTAGTTGCTGTTTAAGACTTTTACATCACCTGAAAGGCTTATGACATGTGACTGCCTAGTAGCAGACATAGGTAATTAAGATTTATTTTTATCACTAGTCATCTTTTATACCTAACATTCAAGTCATACGTCTTCTGCATCTCAAATTTCTTAGTTGTGATGCCTTAACTTGGTTTCTCAACAATAGATTAGTATTTCTTACGCACAACTTTAGTATGATACATGGGTGTCAACCCTCAGTGAGTCTGATTAGTTTTTGGAGTCACTACTCTCACAGAATTTATCTGTAGGAAAAAGGAATATATCAAAAATGGAAATGTGGCCTTTTGCGTCTCTGCCATTTCGCTTTCAGATAATGAGCATCCGGTACGGATCCTATCCCACCTAACTGGGCCTGGGAGATCGGATAATTTCCTATAATTTCAAGTATAGCTTGTAGCCCTATATATATATATATATATATATATAAATATTCCTTCACGTTCCCAGTGCGTCGGTGGCACAGTGGTTAGGACTCTCGCCGACCATGCACATGGTCCGGGGCTCGATCCTCTGCCGACGCACACCCGATATCTATGGTGCCTGTAAATTTGGGCTACCGATATCCATGCTGAAAATTCCATACTTGTACTAAACATCAAGCTGTAAATCAAATAAGAAATAAATAATAAGCATAGGGCTTCAAGCTAGAAGCTTGAAGTCTCTGTAGCAGTGTTTATTTTTACAGGATGGGGTTGCTAGCCTCGTGCCCAACCTTTCCTCTTTAGCAGCTTTATTTCTGGCTTAGCGAGGTAAAGGAATGCGTCGGGCGGGACTTGAACCCCGACATGTGCATGGTCGGCGAGCGTCCTAACCGCTGTGCCACTGACGCACATCCCAATATATTGAATTTCATATATTTACTAGGAGCTGATTGTCTACTTATTAGAGCGTTGTCTCCCTTAGGTTCGAAGTAGAGCTAGCTACAAGTGTCGTATATCATTAAATATCATGACAACATGCCGCATAGTGGGAAACCTAGGAATTGTTCAGTTATAAGTGTCCTACAGTTGTGTTTATGAGAAAAACAGTTTCAGTGATTATTAGCCTAAGAACGGAATATTGTGTAGGGAATGTAAAGCACTCGTTTTTGGAAATTCTCAAACCAATCAAAAATGTGACACTTTCTACAGATGGAGAACACAGATACAGATAATGATGTTCACTTTCCTGTTAAGATAACCAATTAGTACTGTTAATGGCGAAGTTAAACAATAGCATCCCAGGGGTGCGAATGCTCCAATGACTTTGAACGCATGCTAGTCGTTGGCTAAAGGTACCTGTCTTTACTATAGCGCAAATATGAACGCTAGTCACCAACTAATGAGCAAATTTCACCCAGATCACGTTTTTAAGTACTGTTTGGGCACTCTGTTAATAGCTGGTTAGGGTTGTAATTAGGCTTAGGATTAAGGTTAGGGTTACGATTAGGGATAGATTTAGAGTTGGTATTATTTAATTTAATTTTTCCTATTATCCACATTTTCCCAGTAAGTAGTCGTCGATCCTTTTACTGGAAACTGTAATAATTCAACCGAGGATTTTTGGGAAAGACTACAAAACAGTATAAGAACGATAAACGGGTCAGAAAAAAGCTCACCCTGGGTCATCTCGGTGAATACATGTACAGAAACTGGTCTAACTTCAAAACTAGTACTCCTCACTATAAATGGGACATATGTTTAAGTCATGTCAGAGAAACATACCCTGTTTAATGTGTTTTCATGCATTTTCTTTATAAATAAACGTAACTTTTTGTACAAAAATCACTTATATTTATGGTTGGTAGGCTCGACGTCAATCATGCGTTCGCATCCCTTGGGACGCTATTGTTTAACTTTATCCTGTTCAATCGCGCATCATGTATGTTTTAGTTCACTGTGCAAATATTTACAGTATGCATATAATGTATACATCGTATTTCACAATTTATTTCTGCGAGGTTAATTCTTGTAAATCTATTATCTGGAAAAAACTGACATGATATTCAACAACCACTCTCACAGTGACATGCGGTCGACCATCAGCCACATTTATTGATTGTGAGGACTAGTGATACTACCTGGTTGTCCAAAGCTGAGTAGGTTGTGTGGGTTTAGAACCTGTGACCCACTAGTTGGAAGTAAACTGCGTAGACGTATAGATCACAGATCCACTATGATCTGTAAAATGTATACACCTAGTATGTTTATACGGTTCCATCAGTTTATTATTATTATTGTTCCCTTGGGTTCCTAGTGGAACATAAAGCTTCAACTGCACGTCTCCACTTGCTTCTGTCTTCTGCTGTACTTTTCACTTGCATCCATGTTAGTCCATACTGTTTCAGCTCCTCTCCACACGATCTCCTCCATGTCACCCTTGGACGTCCCACTCGCCGCTTCACTTTCGGGTTCCACTCGAGCGTTGGCCTGACGCGCGATGTCACCCAGCGGCCTCCTCAGCCAGCGAGTGTCCAATCCATCTCCACTTTCTCCTGCATATTTGTTGAGCGATTGCTTCTTGTTTTGTTTGTTCCCATAGTTTCTTGTTGGTGATTTTTTTTCCGGCCATCCCATCTTCAGTATAGAACGAAGACAGTTGTTGTTGATAAAGGTCTGCAACCTGTTGGACCCGCCAAGTTCCAAGTGATCCGTATAGAAGAACTGACTGACTTGACGTTTGTATTGAAAATCCGAATTTTGTTGTTGATGTTGAGTGACGAAGATTTCTAGATTGGTTTCAGGTTCATGAATGTGTTTCTCGTCTTCCCGATCCTCGATTTGACATCCTCGTCCGTTACTCCTGTGGTTGAGACAATGTTCTCTAGATAAGTGAAAGAAGTAACCTCTTTCAAATCCCTCCCGTTGATGGTGATTGGCACTGGATGTTGCTGTTGTTGTTGTTGGTTGGTTATTTTCATAACCTCCGTCTTGTCTATGTTCACCTGCAGTCCTGTGTTTGCTGCTTCTTCGACCAGTTTGTCGGTTTTCGCTTGTAAGTCTTCGATTTTCTGTGACATCAAACATAAATCATCCACGCGCGAAATCCAGGTCTTCTAGATTCTTCACGTCGGTCCAGGATATCCCTGTCTTCTCGTTTCCCACTGTCTGACGCATAATCCAGTCCACCACAATTAGGAATATCATTGGTGATAATAAGCACCCTTGTCTGACTCCTGTGTTTACTTTAAACGCTTCACTGAGTTTTCCGTTGTGGATCACTTGACATGTGCCGTTGTCGTACAGCTGTTGAATAAGGTTGATGAATATTTGGGGTACGCCGTAGTACTTGAGTAGTTTCCAAATTACTTCGCAGTTCCATCAGTTACCTTATTAATATTCTTGGTATTAACCAGCTGAATTTACACAAATATCAAGGAAGGGTGGCTCAATTCTTTGTCACTTACGTAATCAAAAAAAAACAAATATTATCAGCATAAGACTTAGTAATAGTGCATACTCGTATAAGCTACCGTAAAGTATGTTTGCCCATTAAGTAATACGATATAATAAAAAGACAGTTGCAACGAAGAAAATTTTCTTTTCGACGAAGTCACCGTCAACTAGGCTGTACATTCGTGTACTTATAATAAATAGATGGGAAAGTGGCAGAATAATTTCAGGTCAAGGGTCAAATCAATAGAATTACAATTGGGAATTAAAATGCCATAAGAAATAGGCTTGACGAATAAAACTCAAATAAAGTAGCATCATGATTACTGAGAAGATTGACATATTGTGCAATTGGGGTTTAAAAATGTAGAAATAACAAAAATGGAAAGATTGAGCGAAGAAATATTTACTTTTCTATTAGATCCTCATCTCACTCTGGCTCTACTCTAATATATAGTGTATAGCATTTTTATTACAATACACAACAATTTACCAGTCACCAAGTGTCACTGATATGTTTGTTTGTTAACAACAATTAGTCAGTGTCAAAATGTCAAGCAGTGGGGTGTGATAATTAACGAAGAAAATTAATACACACAATTAAAGGGTAGAAATGCTTACAACACGTGGATTGCATAATGCATAATTTTGGAAAAATGAAGAGTAATTAAGGAATACGTGTGTGCACAGGTTGATTACGTAGCAGATTGTTAAAGAAAATAAAACGATTTGGACAATGATAACTTGTAACTAAGGTTGAAGTGGTCATAAGAATAAAATAATTTTAAAAGGATAACATGTAATTAAAGATGAAGTGGTCAAAATAAATAAAAATAAAATAATTTGGACAATTATAATTTTCAAAGGTTTAGGGGGAGGGGGGCGAAGTCGTCCGGTCTATACAATCATGTGACGATGGCCAAGGGAAGGAAAGTGGCTGTACAAATTTCTTCTGAACACACAGGTTTGGCTTATTCTTCAGGTAGATTCCTATTGCTTCAGCTGTAGGTATATAGAAAACGAACTCGTAAAGCAAATAAGGTTGACGTTAATACAGCATTTAAAATTATTTACCACATTCCTACTCATCTTAATTTTGCTCTACGAGTTCGTCTTCTACATACAGCTGAATCAACAGGAATTCACCTGAAGAAGCCAAACCTGTGTGTTCAGAAGAGATTTGTACAGCCACTTTCCATAAATTGGCCATCGTTACATGAATGTATAAATCGGACTACTTTGCTCCCCTCCCCCTAAGCCTTTAAAATTATAATTGTCCAAATTATTTTATTCTTATGACCACTTCACCTTAGTTACAAATTATCATTGTCCAAATCGTTTTTTCTTTAACGATCTGTTACGTAATCAACCTGTGCACACACTTATTTCTTAATTACCCTTCATTTTTCCAAAATTATGCATTATGCAATCCACGTGTTGTAGCCCTTTAATTGTGCGCATTAATTTTCTTCGTTAATTATCACCCCATTGACATATTGACACTGACTAATTATTGTTAACAAACATATCAGTGCCACTTGATTGGTAAATTGTTGTGTATTGTAATAAAAATGCTATACGTGTATATTAGAGTTTTAGCCAGAGATGAGGACATAAATGAAAAGTAAATGTTTCTTCGCTCAATCTTTCTGTT